CTACGTTCCACAATAAGACTAAGAGCCCGTTTGATAGCACGAAAATCGGTTGATTTAGCTGATTCTGCTGAAATTTACGAAGTTTTAACTGAAGTGGCTGCATTGGCTGATTTAAGAAAAAATTATTTTTAAAATATATTTTATTACTAAAATAAACAAAAAATTATACGTAAAAATAGCTAAAATGGTTATCTACAGTAACTTCAGCCAAAGCAGCCAGAAAAGTAAATTCAACCTTATTTTTTATGCTTATTACACAATTCAGTGCGTGAAAGCAAAAGTTACGTGTTTGGTGAAAAAATTGACTGATAAGCCGAAAAACTGTGGTTCCAAACGGCCTCTAAAAAATTATAACATATTTTACACCGGCAAAACAAAAGAGTAAAAAAATACTAGTAAGCTAATAAAACAAAAAAGACTTACTATTGTACAAAAGTGTTAGGTGACAGAATACCCTTCTCCGATGACTTGAAAAGTGTAGGCACCGGCATATTGCAATATAATAAATGCACGGAAGAATTTTCGTAATAAGTACTAAGTGATTGGTGGAGTGAACGTGCGGAGGGATCCGTAAATTTGAAATTGGGTGGCCGCAGGCAGAGAAATTCATAGAGCAGATTAATTCGAGTGGATTATCATGAGTTGCTTCACATGCACCAGCTAGCGAGTGTAATCGATCTTCTCGCCCATCTGGATGCTATAAAACCCCCCAGCCAGCAGCCCCCTTCAATTCAATTCTCATCGCATACCAATTCAGATCATAATATACCAATTAGCTATCTAGTTCATTCAATAGACATAATATAATGGCAATAAGGTTGGAGTTGGTTTTCGTGGCTGTGCTGTGCATGCTTGCGGTCACTGCCCCACGCCATGCAGAGGCCGTCACTTGCTCTCAGGTTGCGACCAACTTGATGCCTTGCGTCGCCTACTTGAAGGGTAACGCAGCATTGACTGGGAATTGCTGCAGTGGCGTTAGTAATCTGAATGCCATCGCTAATAACACCCCCGAAAACCGCAAGGCCGCTTGCCAATGCTTGAAACAACTGGCCAACGCCAACGGCGGCATTAAACCTCAACTTGCCAAAGATCTTCCATCCCAATGCCATGTCAACATTGGTTATGTCATCAGCATGGACACCGACTGCAACAGGTATTCATCTCCTTGCATGCATATACTATTCCATCTCATGCATTTCATTTCATCCAAATCATCCTTGCATACACCTAGCTAGCTAGTAGTACAATTGCACTCATTACAGGCTAATTGTTTTCGTTTCATTTTCATTCCTGTTGCAGCCTTAATTAACTAAGAAGATCGATCGAAACTCTGTGTGGGCGAACATCCAGCCCTGTATGCCACGCCCGGGGTTCTCCAACGTCGATCAATGACCTTATACTACTCCATTATATATATATTGTAACAATAAAAATCATTATTATTAATGCATGATAAAAATAAATATGTACTCGATCAGATAGGATGAAATATCCCAAAATAAGTTAGCTGTGCTAGCCAATTAACCCCGGGGTCTCATCTGTACGTGTATGTTCCTGTGCTGTACTGTGAGTTTTGAACCTTTTAATTTCCTCTCTTGTCCACTCATTCTCTTTTCATTTTGTATCAATATATATGCACGTTTAATTTAATTGAACTTTTTCATTTTGTATATCAATGCAACTCCGAATTTTATTTTCTCATCTGTTGTTTTTTTTCCACAATCTCAAATACTATGTTCAGATATAGGATTAACGTGCATGAAATTGCTGATGAGAAAAAGTTATATAAAGGCCTAGAGAGCGAGAGAGAGAAATTCCATTAAATTATATTTAATGGACTATCTCTCTCATGTAAAATCACGTATAAGAAGCCCTATTTGACAGATTCCATGAGATCCTTTAGAGAGAAAGCTTTCTAAAAAATTCTCCATGCTAGAGAAGGTAAATGAATATATCACCTTCTTATGACTATTCATGTTTACTACGACTATGGTTTGCAGAATTAGCTGAAAAGATCTTTTTGTGAACTTTTTAGTAACTGATAGCTTTTAGTGACTGAAAAAATCTTAAAAGTAAAATGTGGTAGCTGTTTGATAAAAAACTGACTGTTTGATTTAGTTCTGTTTGGTATACAAGCTGTTAGGATTAATTAAAGCTAAAATTCATAGGCTTTTCTCAGATGCTACTACTTGTAGCATCTCAAAAAAGATCTTTTATTTTTTGAAAAGCTCTTAAAATTCGGCATGCCAAACAAACAACTAGCAGCTTTTAGAGACTTTTTAAATAGTACAAAAGTCAGAAGCTAGAGACTTATGTCCGCCAAACATAGCCTACGTATATGATTAGGAACTCATTATCATCATTGGCAAAATAACCACTAAATGATAATTATGATTTGAAGATAATAATTGTTTGGTTCCCAATTATAGACGAATCCATACAAACATGAACAGCCCTAGTTTGGACGAATCTATACCACTCTTCAAATTATAACATTTTCTCCTTCATGTTCTACAACTGACCCGGTTACATCATGTTTGGACGAATTGATGATAAATATATACTACGTATATACCATTATCACCTATATGATGTATTTACCAGCACGCAATGTTCCACAACTGACCCATACAAATTACATGAAACTGTCACTCACCCTTAACTATAATAGCTTACACCTAGGCATGAACCCGGGTGGATTCGGTCCCAGACCCGGTCCTGGTTCCAGGCAAAGACTGCCCAGTCCTTGCCAAATGATAGTGAAACCCGGGTCTAACCCGCTTATTTCTGAGTCCCGGTCCCGCTAGCTTTTTTACTGATCTGAAATAAAAAATAAAAAAATATCTTGCGATCGAAACCGGGGCCGCCCGGTTCGGTCCCAAAATAGGTATTCTGGGACCAAGTACCCAAATCCACTGAACACGGCCAGTCTCAAGTCTGGATACAAAAAAAAACGGACCCGATCCGAGCCCAAACAGTAGCAGACCCGACTCTGTACCACGTTCATGCCTACTTACACCTCAGATTTTGGCTTTCACGTCGACATAGGGAAGGACTAAAATGTTTAAAATAATATTAACTTGCCTAATATTTTCTTAAACGTCTTTATAGAAAATATTTTATAGAAAATATTTTAAAGAGTTTTCCAGAAGTGCAATCGTAGAAGAAAAGGTTAACTGTGCATTGATCATGCAAATGAGACTTGATATTTTGGATCACCTTATTAGGGGTATAATTTTCACTTAAAACTAAATTTTCAAGTCTCATCTAGTTGCCTCACTAGTTTTCCACAAACTATGTTAGTTAAATAATATCAGTGTTATGTGTTACTATGATTAAGCTTGGTAAGTGTACGACTGTACATTCTTGTCTCAGATCGATCTAATTATTTTAAATCTAATTAAGTTTAGTCTATTCTTATCTGAACTAAAATTGAAATCGTTTCAAGTCCAAACATCGATTGTCATCCAAATAGGACAACAAACACAAGAAATACGTATCTATATTCCTTAATTTGCAATCCTTATAATTTAGGGTTTTTACTTATATAGTACTACGTTATTGATGTTCAATTCTAAAAAGGGAAAGTTCCTGAAATAGGACCAAAAACGTTTGTAAATTCCAAAATAGGACTGTCATGTTTTTATTTCTTAAATAGGAGCAATTATTGTCAAGTTTGTAAAATACTGTCATGTTTAAAGTCTGGTACTGCCAAAACATGACAGTAATTAGTTTCATTTGGGGAATTAAAAATATGGCAGTCCCATTTTGAAATTTACAAACGTTTTTGTCCTATTTAGGATAAATTCTCTTCTAAAAAAGAAAAGTGGCTACGTTTACATATGAATAGAGCAGTTGACTAAAATGGTAAAAAAAAATTGGAAAATTGTGAATGTAACTATGAGGTTATTACGCCACTAATAGTTTTCTTATGTTACTACTACAAATGATTGTTGTGTCATTGTTGAAACCGCCATTGTCATTGCCACCATGATACAAGTCACAGTGACGGTCAGAGATTTTTTGGACAACTTTTTCTCACAAATTACAAAAAAATGGAAAAAATAGAAAATTTCCCAAGCAATTTTCGTGGCGCCTTTAACAATGGGGCAGGGGTGGGCAATGGAGTGGAATTATATTAGATGTAGAAGAAATGTATATTAATTAGGAAAATTCTACCGTGCCTCTATTAATTTGGGGTGATTTACCAAAAAACGGGAAAAATGGGTTGGGGTTGCCAAAACACGGGGTTTTTTCTAGGTTTTACCAAAAAAATGGGAGTCGGAACTCCCAATTCCGACTAGAATATTTAGGGTTTCCAAAAAAATTCCCACTCCCCTGGTCGGATTACCCAATTCCGACTAGGATTTAATTTTTTTTTTTAAATAATAGTTGTAGGGCTAAATTTTATCCATTCCAAATTTAAAAGTTTTTTTTAGATTCCTCACATATTTTTTAAAATGAAAACTTAGCATTTTGATTTTTTGAGTAACAAAACATTTGATTGCTTTATATTGTTTTTAAATCTATTTGTATTGCCAATTTTGTTTTAATTGCAATTTTTGTAATTTTAAGTTCAATTTTGATTTAATCCATTCGTCAAATTAGATACAAATTTGATTTTGTTTTAAGTGCAATTTTTGTAATTTTAATGGAAGTGAACAAAACAAATGTAGTTTTCAATGTAATTTATTAATGAATAGACAGTACATACAATATTAAATTTAATACTACATCTAACGTTGCGAGCTCGGCCCTGCTCCGTCCCCACCGCCAGTGTTCCAAGGCCTCGTTGTGTCTCCATAGTAAAATGACGAATTGAGAAATGACTCAACATAATCATCCGCTTGTGTGGAGCACCGATAAGAATCATAATACGGCGGTGGTTCATCAAATGAGACACCTTGATGCGTTGAGAATTGAGGGGGTGGTTGATGAAATGAGACACCCTGTATTGATAATTGAGGGGGCGATTGTGAGTCCTCACCCCCACCTTCATGTTCATCTGCATCATCATCTTCATCACTTCCACCTTCATCTTCATCTTCATAATGGAATATGCCCCGATGGAGCATCTCTTCATCACCTACGTCCAGGACCATCTGCCGTAGTCGTTTTTGACAGTCCTCATAACTGGCGCGGTTGGTTAAAATAATCAGATAAAATTTATCAGATAAAATTTATTTGATTATCTGTTAAAATTCGATAATATTTGTATCTGAATTACAAAGATATATTAAGTATAATATACACTAAATTAAAATTCCAATTTCACAAATCGAAATTAAAAAAATTACAAATTACTAAATTAACTACTTCTATACTCCTAAATGTAACACACTTTCTAACTTTGAAGTAATTTATAGCCAAATTTAACTCTAAAATTCCAATTTAACAATCTAAATTAAAACATTTACAAATTACTAAATGAACTACGTCTACACTCGTAAAACCAAAATTTAAGGCCAATTCTAAATTTAACACTCTTTCTAACTTTCAAGTATTTAATAGCCAAATTTAACTCTAAAATTCATTATTTAATAGCGTAATATTATTATCAAGATATTAAATTATAGAGTAATTAATTAGCCTAATTGTGCATAATATTAGTATTATTTAATATATTATACTACAAATAATATATGCTTGTATGATAGCCTAAGTATATAATACACTAACTAATACATATATTACTAAAATCAGTTATATATACTCATTAACTCTAAAATTCCAATTTAACAATCTAAATTAAAAACTTTACGAATTACTAAATTAACTACTTCTACACTCTGAAAACGACAACAAATAAAATCAAATCATTGTAAATTCTACTTAACTTGAACAATACATACCGGGAGATTCGTAGTTTTGAAACGTTTGGCGGTTGTTCCTCCGACCATATATTGATGATGGGCCTTCCTCTCCGGGAGTTCCGTGGAACGTCAAATTTTGTGGCGGGGTCGCTGAAGCTTCCACGTAAATGTGCAACTCCCTCATACTCATTTGTAGCGATCCGGAAAAAATGACGCCATGTCCGCTCATCGTGAATGGGCCATAATCTAGAAGCAACATATACCGAATTCTTATATTTTGGTAATTTTCTGTGAATTAATTTAATTTCGGAAAATCCGTCGCCTCTAACATGATTTAGAACATTCTCATGTATAGTAGTATAATCATCTCCTTCACTAATGAATAGTACCGCCCTAGGAGGTATGGAGTACTCTATTTCATCATCTTTTTGAGATGTAGAGCCATTCCAATGAACCATAACAACAATATTACCCTCACTAGACATTTGTATATATGGTATATATTATAAATATAATATGAGACGAGAGTGAGTAACAAAAAATAATGAATATATTACTTTAAGAAAGAAAGAGGTGTTCTTGGAGTGTCCAAATTTTGAGAACAAATGAATGGATTTTATAGGGATATTAGTGTAGGAGTTTGGTGAAATACTCGAACCCCGTTTAAACACCTCACTCATTTGAAACATTAAAAAAAATTAAAAATATCATAATACCCTAGTCGGATTCCCCAATTCCGACTAGGTGTTTAAAATTATTTAGGTGTTCGCACTATTAAACACCTCACCCATTCGAAACATTTAAAAAAAATTAAAAATTTCAAATACCCTAGTCGGATTCCCCAATTCCGACTAGGAGTTTAAAATTATTTAGGTTTTGGATTTATTACACCCATTCGAAACATTTAAAAAAAAATTCAAATACCCTAGTCGGATTCCCCAATTCCGACTAGGAGTTTAAAATTATTTAGGTTTTGGATTTATTACACCCATTCGAAACATTTAAAAAAAAAATCACAATACCCTAGTCGGATTCCCCAATTCCGACTAGGTGTTTTTGACAAAAAACTAACCCTACTCTCTAGTCGAAACAACGGATTCCGACTCCCGTTATTTGGTAACCTAATTCACTTTCCCGTCTTTTGGAATGTCAGACACCATACTCCGGTTATTTGGTAATTTCTTCATTTTGCAAGGTATCGGTACACAGATTTTGAAGGCCAATCAAATTACATTATATTGCCACGTCGCCCTTATATAATTGTATTACGTAGTACGCAGTACTTCGTATGTAATAATAATCCGTAGTAATTTGTAAGTATGTATTACGAAAGGCCGGCAAGGCGGCAAACCCAGGAAAGGAGTGGAGGGTGCTGAACCACCGTTGCCGCTGAGAGAGGCAGTTATTTGGATGGTTTTTGCCGTCGTGGACATGACGGTGTTTGTCGAAAACCGTTGCTGGAGCCTGGATAACTGCCTGTGCGTGTGGAGGGAAAAACCATTTGTTGCAGACCATCGTTGATGGCTGGAGAAGGGAGTTTTACGTACGCACGACCGGAAGAACCTTTGGAATTGCTGAGCTTGGACGCTAATGCTTCGTAAAAAGCTTAGAGCTTTTGCAAAAGAACTCAATTGCAAATACCTCAAATTATTTAACTTAATTACGGAGTATTTTATTATTTTATTGTGGTTTAAAATTTACACGTGGGTGTTTTTAATGGGTCACATAATCAAATGTACGGTACACTTAAAAATAAGGGAGGTACCGTAGAAAGACCTAGGGAGGTTAAATCTACGGTACCTTCAAACTTTCAGAGGTACCGTGCCCTGCTAATGTGGCCCAATAATAACCTGACACATGGATAGCTTAAATTATGACATGGCATTCAATAGATAAATCTACTTTTGCTGTTTAGTCCTTAGAATAAAAAAGGAGATGACGGAAGTTTTTAATCGTTTATCTCCCGTCAAGTCTGTTTTCTTCTCCCTCGCAAACAAATACTCCGGAGCAGCGTATCGCCAAGACCATCAGCACCGGTGAAAGCTTTTGACGGACCTCACCTGGATACGAGCGCAGCTCGGAATTTTGACGCCCTTGAAGGTATGCTTGTTCCAAATTTTGTATGTATATCGTTCATTCATCATATCCAGCTTAGGGTTTTGAAAGTACATACATGTGTGAATTAGCATTGGTCTTTCTCTGGAATTACCGAAAAATGATCAGCAGATCTATGACCATACGATTATTTGTTGGGAATTATTCATTACTGGGGACTTGAGGCTGGATTGATTGAATATTGATTTTTTGAAAATATCCTAGATACATGCTTGTTTCTGTTCCCTTTAGCATAATCTAGAGAGGGTAGGGATATTGGTGGTGAAGAAGAATGTGAATATTTGAAATATCTAGTCTGGGATATATACCTATGAGGAGTTTCAATCCTTGTTGGAGATAATTATTGGATACTATAAAGCACAACTTGAATAAGAATAAGAAATCTGGAGAGGGTACGTATATTCTATATTCTATATTCTGGGTAAATAGAAGTCATCTATATTCTGGGTTTAGTTTCTTTTGGATTTTAAATTCCTCAAGGTTTTGTCTTTTAAGCTTTTATTCAGCCCTTAATGTGTGTATACACCCATACAAATACCCATACAATTAGAGTAAGATATACTCAACAAATCTAATATATATCAAATAGCCAATTATTTGATTTTTTCTTAATAACACCAAAGACATAAATAGAGACTCCAAATATCTAGTCAATGACACACAATTACACAAATGCTTGCTTCTTTTTCATATAGAGAGTGTTGTTTTTTTAGATTGGAAGAAAAATGAAATATAGTCAGAAAGGTCCTGTCAAGCATTGTATATTGCAGCTTTATATGCTCATGCCATAGAAACAAATCCTTTTTATTTGAGAAAAAAACTGCTTGCATTTTTTGTGTACGCTCTTCCCATTGATACTTTAGTATCTAAGCGTGTTAAGTAACTGCATGAGAAATTTTTCCTTAATGATGGCTTATTCTAAAAAGTGGCACATTTTTTCAGCTTCTAAATTTTCTGTGTTGCTCGTGTAGTAAAAACATAATTGCACGCCATACATCTGTTCATATGAATGTTTCTTTAGGAATCTTATTCCCTGCAATATGTATATGTATCCATGTTGAAACAGAAAAGAATATGCTGACAAAAGGAAACTAGTAAGCAAATGGCATCCAACAACTAAGTGTACGCGATCATTTAAAATCTGATAAGGCATTGTTAATTTTTAATGATCAGCAGGTCTTGGAAACCTCCGGCTGAAAACGCGATCATTTAAAATCTGAAAATTATTGTTTTGCTTAGTTGCTGAGTTCATGCTTTGGAAAAAATTAAAATAAATGTTTATTTCCCGTGGTGGATGCTATATACGTTTAAATAATCTTAGGTTTTCTCTATCCATTTTGCATCTGCCTAAGCTTTTAAAAGTCCCAATATTCTGTCAGTCTTGTGTCAAACCAGAATGTTCAAATGCTATAAATTGATTTGTATATGTATAGCCAATTACAGTTTTTCTTCTTTTGATATTAAATATAAACAGTTCAATATATATGAAGCTGTTTTTATATTAAGTGAAACATAAAGTCATTTGGTCATCTCGTAGGCACATAGTCTTAGTTTTGAGCAGTGTTAGATAAACACATTTTCCCTTGTATTTTTATTAAAATCTGAAGTTTTCCTCCATCAACAATGTCTTTTATCTTTTAGGGCAAATCTGGCAGGAGTAGTGTTAAATTATGTAAAGTGGAAACTACGGTTCTAGAAGTCATAATGTTTCACTCATTAGGTTTAGGTCCATAATTTCTCAATATAAATATTGAAATAGAATTGTGTAGAAATTATCAGGTAGTCAACTAAAGTTAAAATAAACCAAAGAGACAAAAAAAATGACTTAAATTTAAGGAAAATATAGACTGAGTGATATTAATATAAGAATTTAATAATTACCCGATCCCTCTTTATTAAGAAGCTAGAAAAGCCTTCATCGCTATCCTCTTCTACCTGTATAATTATTTTATGATTTATGTTTGTTATGCTCAAATTGATGGGTTTTGAGTTAGGAGAGATGGTGTCAGATTTTTAGTTTCACGTCCTATATTGATGTATTCTGAATGTGTTTTGTGAATTGTAGATTTAATTGCAAACTTTCATCTTTTTTATGATTATTCCAGTCATTGGAAAATGCCAGAGCATTTTGAAGAACACGAAGTACATTTTGCTAAAGACGTAGACAAAACTTCGCTAGTTGGTAATTTCCATGGTGATGAAGAATTGCCCGAGGGTTATAAAAAATTTGTGATCTGACACCTGTTGAGATTAAGAGACTCGAATTCGACTCTGAGGATGAAGTTTATGACTTTTATTCTTGTTATGCTCAAATTAATGGGTTTTCTATCCGAAAAGATGATGTGCGTCGTGACTCAAATAATAATATTGTCATGAGGAAATTGGTTTGTAATTGGGAGGGATTAAGAAGTAAGAAGCACATTGAAAGGAATGACCGAGTTAGGGAGCCAAAAGCTATGACTCGTACAAATTGCATGGCACGACTTCGCACAGAGTTCGATAATCATATAAGAAAGTGGATAGTTGTTGATTTTGAGAATACTCACAATCATGAGATGACTCCATCACAGTATGTCCATTTAATGCCAGCTTACAGAGGCATTAGTGACGGCATTAAAGCACAAGTGGATAGTTTACAGTTGCATGGAGTTCGAACTTGTCATATCATGGGGCTGATTATTGGTCAAAAGGGTGGACACGCTGATGTAGGTTTCTGCAAGAAAGATTTGTACAATTACATTGATCAACAAAAGAGAGCTAAGATAAGTGATGGTGATGCATTTGCTGCATTATCTTATCTCCAAGCTAAAGCAGACAGTGATAGTTTCATGTTTTCGAAGTTCACAACCACAGAAGAGGGAAGGCTTGATAACTTGTTTTGGTCAGATGGTGTAAGCAGGCTTGATTACCATTGCTTTGGAGATGTTGTTGCTTTTGACACTACGTACAAAAAGAACAAGTATAACAAGCCATTGGTTATTTTTTCTGGGTACAATCATCACGGCGAAACAATTATCTTTGCGTGTGCCTTAGTATCCGATGAGAAGACAGAAACATACAAGTGGGTTCTGGAAACTTTTTGTGAATGCATGTTTGGTAAATATCCTAAGGCAGTTGTCACTGACGGAGATGGTGTGATGCGTGAAGCAATTAGGGCAGTGCTTCCGAGCTCCTTTCATAGGCTTTGTGCTTGGCATCTTCACAAAAATGCATGTGATAATGTTAAGAACTCACGTTTTCTAGAAGATCTTAACCCTCTAATTTATGGTAACTTTAGCCCTGATGATTTTGAAAGCAGGTGGAAGAAGACGATGGATGAACATGGAGTTGCAAACAACAACTGGGTTAAGAAAGTTTATGACATGAAGATGATGTGGGCAAGTGCATATATGCGTGATAAGTTTTTTGCCGGTATTCGAACAACATCCATCTGTGAAGGAATTAATTCATTCATTAAGCGGTATGTGCAGAACAAAAATAGCCTTGTTGATTTTATGCATAATTTTGAAAGAACAGTAAAGGAGTATAGACACAATGAATTAATTTCAGATTTTAAATCCTTGTATACTGACCCTTTGTTGACCACTCCTCTACATGCATATGAGTCGTGGGCTTCACAAGTCTTTACAAGGAATAAATTCTGGGAGGTTAGGAAACAAATTGAGAATGTTGTTACACTTAATGTAGTTGAAAGGGTTGAGCATGGTGGTGATAATGTTTGTCTCCGAATGAATAAATTTGGCAGTCCAAACACCGAGTTCATTGTTATGCATGATAAGGGTGACTGTAATTTTGCGTGTGATTGTCGATTGTACGAGTCTCGTGGTATTCCTTGTGCACACATATTTTGCGCTATGAGGCATGAAAATATTGATTCAGTTCCGAGTAGTCTTATTTGCCAAATATGGACAAAAAAAGCTAAACTTGATTCCATGTCCTCTATTGATGGTAATGGCGATAATTCTGAATTATCCAACTTGGATATGTTGAGGTCTGGTGCTATCTCTGCTGCATGTAACAGGTTATATAGAGCGGCATGTAAAAAACCATCACTTTATTCTGAGTTCATTGCAGACATTGAGAGCTTGATAGGTAAATTTGAAAAGCGTGGTGGTGATGCACTTAATCAGAATAATGGGTCTAAGGTTCGTGATCCAACAATTGTGAAGACTAAAGGTGCTCCTCGTAAGGACAGAAATTCTAGAAAGAGGAGAAGATGTGGACATTGTCAGCGACATGGTCATACGAAACGCAAGTGTCCTACATTGAGCAATCGCGATCAGCTACATGTGCCTTAGGAGAAGGAGGTGGAGGGAAACGACGAGTCATCTGAGCAATCTGATGATACCGGCACCATTGATATTGTAAGATCACTTTGCTTCTATAACCATCACTCCAAGTTTGATTTTCTTCCAAGGCGGTAATCTCCTTTTGCATGGCCTCTCGCCATAAGGGGTCCTGTACAGCTTGTGAAAAATATTTAGGCTCATCACGTGAGGTGATGGCCACTAAAAAAGCTTTATGTGTGAGAGAAAATTTTTCATAATTAATAAAATTGGAAAGAGGATATACCGTTGAGTCAACCGAATTGGCGGTGGGTAGGGAATGATCAAGTGAGTGGGGCAAATCAATTTCATAATTTTCCAGATGCTTGGGAATTTTCCGAGTCCTAGTATGCCTTTCTGGTTCAAAATTTGGTGTCATGCATGGTGTCACCGTTGGTTGATTAGGTGGTCTCATGATATTTGTCCCTTGTACAGAAACATCACCATCGACACAAATTATTGAGGATGGCAGCCCATGTATTTCATTATTTTGTTCTTGTCCATAGGATACGTGTGTATCCAAATATTCATTAGATGAAGTGAGATCATTGTCCACTTGTGCTGATGGAAATCGATCATGTACAGTAGCTGATGGGTGGAGAGCAGTCTCGGTCGGCCGTCCATCCGAAGTAGCTGGGTGAGAAGCTGACTCGATCGGCTGTTTGCATGACTCATCTTCATTGAATGTTCGAACAACTGGTCTCGTAAAGTGACCGACGTCTTGTACACTTGGGTCCTCATATCCCAAAATGTGATGGTAAACCTTGTCTATAATTGCTGAAAAATCAAGGTCATGATCAAGAGTAATTTTAAAAGGGAACTTCTCCTCATAAAAAGTGACATCTCGAGAGCTATATACATTACGTTTATCCAAATCGTAGACCCGATAAGCCTTTTGACCATATGGGTACCCAATAAATATACAAGGACTCCCCCTTTCGCTGAATTTATCTTTTCTCTTATTATCGTGAGCATATACCAGACATCCAAATACCCGTAAATGATCATAACTAGGGATCTTTCCAAACAACATTTCATAAGGGCTTTTGTTATGAATAATGGGTGAGGGAAGTCTATTTATAATGTAAACAGCAGTTAAGATGCACTCTCCCCAAAAATCAATAGGTAACCCAGACTGGAAACGTAAGGTCCTTGCAATTTTCAATATATGTCTATGCTTACGCTCCACAACTCCATTTTGTTGTGGCGTGTCTGTGCAAGATGTTTCGAGTAATATTCCATTGCGTCCATAATAATCAAATAAAACATTGGTTTGAAATTCTACGCCATTATCAGCTCGTATTCGTTTGACTTTTTGCTCAAATTGGGTACCAACCATATTGCAAAATTGGATTAAAAATTGGGAGACTTCAGATTTATTTTTCATTAAATAAACCCACACACCTCTGGTAAAATCATCAACAATAGATAGAAAATACCGTGCACCGAAGATTGAATCGCATCGATAACCTCCCCAAATATCGCAATGTATCAGTTCAAAACAACGAGTTGTCTTAATGGAACTTGATGAAAAAGGTAGTCTAGTCTGCTTAGCTCGAATGCAAGGATCACAGAAATTATCACTCCGTCGAAATCCTTTGAGAAAACTAATGTGATGCAATTTTCCATCAGATGCATGTCCCAAACGTTGATGCCACAACTCAGATGTAACAGAGACTGACATTGCCACCCCCTCACATATCGGAAAATCCATATAATAGAGTCCATTGCAGAATTTACCCACGCCAATAAGCTTCCTCGAGGGTATATCCTGCAAAGTACAGAAGTCTGAAAAAAATGTCAATGTACAATTTAGATCGCTTGTGAGGCGACTAGCTGAAAGTAAGCTGCATTGAAATTTTGGGATGTATAGGACACGCCGAAGATACAACCCGTTTGGTAAGTATAAGCTACCGATAGCATGAACCGGAACAGATTCTCCATTTGGAATTTTGACTGATGATTCGGAAGGAGTGGTCAAGATATCAATAAGATTTCTGTCACTACAAGTAATATGTTCCGTTGCTCCGGAATTAATTATCCAAGAACAGGTATGTGACAATACTCCTGCCATATTTATTTGAGGCATGGAGTCCATCATTTTGCTAACTATATGGCTGGATTCAATGGTTTCATCACCAATCTCCATAGCCTAGCTAGAGAAATTAAAAAATGTGAAAAGGAAGAATCTAAGAATTTTGTCTCCAGGATTTCGGCTCTGATACCATGATAAAATTGATTCTAAGTATTTCGGTAATATTGATACTAAATATTGAAGAGAGAAATTGATAAGAGATCACTGGAAACTTCAATTTTATTATGGATGCATATGCATGTATATATACTCGTATTACAAAGAAAGAGGAACAGTGTGCATGTGATTGCATGGCCCATGACATGCCAACTAACAAGAGTGATGCATGCGTATATAAAATACGGAGTAAATAAAATATTATATAAATATTGAATATCTCAATAGACATATCGAAGACTTTCTGCCCAAATTCCAGTAAAGGCCAGCAAGGATGCTTGGATCAATCTTCTCATTCTTCTGTTCAATTTGGACAGACTTCCCATGCCCAAATTAAGCCTAAATTATGCTAGAATAACAAAATAAAAAAACCATGGCTATATAAACTGGTTTGTGCTTGTTAATAGATTCGTGCTCGGATAATTTGACAAGTACATGAATCTTTAACAAACTAATACTACGGAGTATTGAGTAACAAAATCAAATACAATGGTTATAAAGAAAACACCAAGTTCAGCCATTATTCATCAAGGAGTATCTCACAACAAAATGGTTCCGAAAAGGGGTTTGTCATGGATGCGTCACTAAATACTAAAGAAATGTTATTGGATCGAGGACTAAAACGTCAAAAAGGTACGGATGAATTTGCTCAAACAAAGACTAAGACTAAGACATACGTAGTATCATTCTTTCAAAAATAGGATAATATGTTTGGTAGTCCCTGCATAGTACTAAACATCACCTTTCTATCCCTACTTTAATTAATTAACTAGATGAAGTACCCGTGTGATGCACGGGGTGTATCTAGAATAGAATAGAATTTTATTTAAAATAACATTTTATTATGATGATATGTAATGTGTTTTTTTGCTAAATAAAAAGAAAAGAAAATTTATAAATGTTATAGCTTTGATTATAAAACAGTAATTGTTAGAAATTAAATTTGGTTCGTATGAAAATTGTAAGTAAAAAGTAAAACAAATGATAAGGTATAACAATAAATTCTACTACGTATGTGATAATAATGGAATTATATATGTTTTTCTATGGATTGGAATTTTTTGATCTGGTCTGGTCTTAATCGGTATAGTCTAGTTTAGAAGATGTATGATTTGTGTTTAATTGTGGCATGTATTCGGATTTTCTTGTGGCATATATTAGGATTTTCGGATTATCTTGTAGCAAAGATAATATGTTCAAGTGTTCAACCTTGGGTAACAAATGTCTGGCGGAGACTTTAAGCTTTGTGGCGGATTCCTTATATTTTTCATATTGATCGCTGTAATTTTCTAGAACTGTCTTTTTATACCTACTACTCTTCAACCTTTCTTTGGTAATGTAGAATGACAAAAGATAGAGCATATTTCCTTGAAGTTATAAAGATTTTTATTTGATAAATTGAAGTTACAAATAAAGTGTATATTACGTACACTAACATATGATGAACATAATTTCACATTACTTTAATAGCTTCTTATAACTTAACGTAAAATTGGAAACATCGTGTTCTTTTATTATCGAAATTATTTGATTATGATGGTATATTTAATAACATAGTTTTGGATTAAATATTATTCAATAATGAACTTAAATTTTGAAGCACTCTTAAATAATTATTAATTTTGAATATATTTTGAACTAACCAAGACAAACTTGTTTAAATTACACAAATAGAAACTTAAACAAACTATTTAAATTAAATCCAGATTAACCTTTTTTGTTCATAATTTAGAACAAACTGAACATAAATTAGGAAATATTGTGTTTTCCATTTTCAAAATCATTTAATTGTGAGGATGTATTTATTAAAATAGTTATGGAATAAAAATTATTGGATTATGAAGCTAAATTTTCAAAAGCACTGAAATTACCTTCTAATTTTGGATAAATACTTTAATCATTTTTTACTGAAAAATACTTTAATCACTTGGAGATATATACATTTGAGATAAATCCGAAATCATTTTTGTTATGAATACGTATTTAGTAAATTTAATTTGATTTAATAATTATTTAATTACAAATATATTTTCAATTAAACTTGAAAAATTTGTTTAAATTGCACAAAGTATGAAATTACACTTCTCTAAAAAATGTATAAAAGTACACAAACTCTAATTGTGAAGTTAATTTTTGAAATATATATAATTGAAACTACCTTCCATCTAGTAAAAGTATCTTGAGTGTACTCATCATGTTTTTCGGATTTTTGTACTCCGAAATTTGACCCAACCCTATCACACGTAACTCTCCATTCGTTGCTTCGAGGTTGAATTTAATGGCGATCGACAATTTTGAAATGCATGGTTGATGGAAAATTGTTCTATTAGTCCTTCTATGATAAAATTCTTATACCCTATTTTTAGAATGAGCCAAATAAATGTGCGGCTAGTTATATACTCCGTATACAACCTTGGAATTGAAGAAAGGTCAAATAAGCTATTCTAATATTTCAAATTCATGACTCTATTAGTTCCTGTACTAAAAAAAGTATCAATATGGCCATTTAATCAGTTTTTTTTATCTGTAATAGCATATTTTTATATTTAAAAACTCTCAAATTTTGTTAAAATTTGAAGAAATATACGTAGTATATATAAATTGTGAAAGTTTTCAGAATGTCCAAATCAATATTTTTTGTATTTTTGAAATTATTTGTATATTCTACATCTATTTAAAAGGTTATTACATTTTTATTTTATATTATTAATTTTCACTTTATTTTTTCAATCTTCAGATTTTTTATTTTTTATTTAATTTTTTAAAGTTGTTTATCCGTTTATACTATTTTATATATTATTATTACATTATTTTTCAAATTTATATGAAGTTTTGTAAGATTTATCAATGTTCCTTATTTAATTTTAAAAAAATAACCTGCTATAGCACAACAAAATGACTTGATTGATTGTATTATAAGAGTAAGTGTACTTATATGATGCTCTTTAAGTAGAAGGCCTTCAGTATTGAAAAATAGTAGAAGAGTCTATTTGACTTTTGTTTCTACAAATTTTGTTAAGTAAATACATAGCAGCATGCATGTTACTTGAGTTTCATAATTGTAATGAAAATTTTCCTCGTGAATATTTTTAATAGAATTTACTACCTCCATCCTAAAAAGATTAAACATATTGAATTTTCTTGGTCAATGAATCAATGATGACAAACTTTGAACAATAATTTTTATTATTATATTTGCGTATAATTTATAAATTTCATACTTTAATGAAAATTTTGAATAAGATACATTTTGAAAATTTAGAAATATCATTGATTATATTTGATTGTCATTTATCAAGAAAATTAATTTGGCGAACTTTTATCGGGACGGGGAGAGTATATGATGCATGATGCATGCATTTTTTTGGAGCAATATGGTATGTGTACTTTATTTGGAGCAGCACATGTATTATTCTTGCCATATATATTCACATATTTCTTTCTTTTTAGATTTGAATATCATCAAGGCACCGATGATTATCCACTGCCTCAAAGCATCTCCAATGCTCTTCTTTTGACATTGTAAAAATTTGACACATCATTAATTTCAAATGTGTCATGAATTTTTCCTCTCCAATGCATTCTTTTATGAGCTCTTTGAATGTGACATGGAAGCAACACTTTGGACGTCGCTGTTGAAAATCGGAAAGTGCTTTTAACGGTGTGAAGCCCGTAAAGACACCCACTCTCGCACAATTCCATGAAAAAAGTAACACACATTTTAAAAAAGTAAATTCGTGTAGTTTAAAAAAAGTTGAACCCAAATTCACCACTTTCTGATTTTTGATGAGCGGTTTTGGAAATACGACATCGGCAAATTGAATTAATGCTAAATTGCTCATGTAGCTGGTATGTGTAAAATCAATTAATTAGATTTAGAAAATGAATTATGCAACTGCTAAAATTAACTATAAACGTAGCATGATTTATATAGATTTATAGCTTTTGCGGCAACTGGCATTTAGTATTGGTATGTTTTATTTTAGAATACTAAATGTTAGGTAAATAGTATTTACGGAGTAATATGTTAACACTTGACATTATGCATTGGAGACCTCCAGTTTATTTATTTCAATGTGTACCTTATGTGGATAAACATTGTCTTATTTAAGTGACATTTGACAAAATTTATTCCACGGACATCTTAATTTGCTTTGTTGCCATCATATTTTATTTTGTACAGACATGTGTTTCTGTATGTATATATACCGTACACGTGTCTTGTTCTAACTTCTAACCATTCATTCATTAGTAAATGGTTTATTACCATTTTAATAACTTGCATGGCGGGATTTCATTAGCCATACACTGCGCGCCTTATTTAAAAGTGTTATCATATTTCCATTTTAGTAATGAATTTTTAAATACTTCGATATTATTGTTTCAAAATTGTTAAATGCTTCGAAATTGTTGTGATGCAGTGTACACACTAAATATGATAATACATTTCAGAATTGTTAAATACTTCGAAATGTAGTTTAATTACCAAGTTTAGTTGTTTCATTAATTCGCTATTATTTCCTTATTTTGAGCAAGACTTTTCCCTTTAATTGTTGACTTAACTTTGTTATTTTATATTACAGAAAGACATTTCTTCGCATATATATAAACTAATTATTTTGGTTATTCTCGACATTATAATATCACATTATGAGCCCGTTTGGTGAGCTTATTTTTCGGCTTATCAAGCTTATCAAATATCAACCAACTTTTTCATCAAACACGTAACTTCTGACTTCAATTCGCACGCTGAATTGTGTAACAATAAGAAAAAGTAAGGTTGGATTTACTTTTCTGGCTGTATTGGATGAAGTTACTGATCATGTTAGCTATTTTTAATATAATTTTTTATTTATTTTATTTATAAAATATATTTTATATGTAATTTTTTTAAAATCAGCAGAATCAACCAATACAACCACTTCGATCAGAACTTCATAAATATCAGCAGAAACAGCCAATTTGGTCGATTTCAGTGTTACCAAACGGGCTCTATATATTTTAATATTGTGATTATTACTATCATCATCATTTATTTTTGTAA